AACGTGAGATGACCTTGCTACACACCAACGCGCACACACACACACACACGCACACATACACACACACACACACACACACACGCGCACACACACACACACACACACACACACACACGCCCCCCGCACACACGCACGCACACACACGCCCCCCACACACACTAACTAACTAACTAACCTATAACGTGAGATAACCATGCCCAGCGCCACGATTCCGAAAACGTAGAACAGAAGCGTGCAGAGCATCCAGAAGATGCGGCCGGCGGTCGACTTTCCCTGCAGCAGGGCGCCGAAGCCATGCGCGGGCGTCCTCCTCATGAACGCGTGGATCGCGTCGCCCGGCCCGTGATGCTTCACGTACCGCACACCCTGCGCATGACGTCATCAGAACTAACGGCAATGTCATGACGTCACGTCACCACGACAAACAGATGTTGTTTACGTCACGATTAGCAGATCTTCTTGTCGTGGAGTTTTGTCTGATATTCGTCTGACATCTGTCTGATATCATAGATAATATCCGGAGTGTATAATATAGAGATATATTATGCTCTATATTTTGCACTTCTGATAATACAATACGACGTTATTAGAAGCACCCGAATAAAGAGGTAACAGAGTAGATTAACAGAACGATCACTATTGCATGCTGCTCTCTATTAGTGTGCGTTATGATTCCCTATCCTATATTACTGCAGTATTGTCAGATATGAGTATCATAGGATAGCAATGATATTAGCGGTAGATGATAAACAGATATTGTTTATCATTACATCTGTTCCCCATTGTACCAGGAGTCTATCAATATTGATAGACTCCTGATTGTACTAATATGATCGATAACCTATAATGATCATAGATATTCCCTAAAATGTATATGATTCTATCGTCTGCTGCCAATTAGTTGTTCGCGTTGGATTGCTACGTGATGACGCATACTCACACCGTGTCGCTGTCTCGGTGGCGGTGTGAGATCCCTCTTGTTCTCTTTCCTCGCATCGTGCGCATTTATCACAGCCAACCGGGCCCTCTTTGAAACCATAGTCGCCTCCTCCTGCTCCTCCTCTTACAGCTACGTCTCCTGCAATACCTCGCCTGAAGAAGGAGTCGATGGACCTTCCTGCTCGATTTATTAATGACGAGTAAATAAAGGCGTAACATATACCCCGTACAGACTACGAATTTTAGCGCGCGTTAACTTAGCGCGCGCTAACTAGGAGCGTACAGACTGCATATTTGACCCTACTTTAAATGAGTCATCGGTTCTCCCACCGCCCAGTTCCTTGCTCGCCACGTCACCCCGCAGACAGCGAGGTACAGCGAGCGTGCGTGCGAGAGAGAATACGGCAGGCGACAGATATCCACATCCAAGTGTGGCTTTAGGCCACCTCGTTCCCCGCCGGTGGCCTCCAGCCCCCGTCAGCTCACCCCGACAATAACCCTTCCTCGACCGAAAATTGTTCTTTTTGTTTACGTATTTTAGTAATGCTAAAACAAGTTACCATGGTATATGCCGATTGTATTTCCCATAGCCATAGATATAGCATTAAATAGACAAAAAACAAGCCAAGCGCCAGTGCAGCACTCGGCAAGTTATTAGTAGCACGTTATAGTGTTTCCGGCGTTATATTTGTATGATGCGGGCCTAAGGCCACCTATACAGAATTGTAATAATAGTGTATGCTGGGGGCTCAAAGCCACATATATAGTATTGTATATGATGGGGGCCTAAGGCCACCTATGCAGAATTGTAATAATAGTGTATGCTGGGGGCCCAATTCCACATATAGTATTTGTATGACGGGGGCCTAATGCCACCTATATAGTATTGTAATAATAGAATAGTGTATGATGGGGGCCCAATGCCACACATATAGTATTTGTATAAAGGGGGCCTAAGGCCACCTATATTGAATTGTAATAATAGTGTATGATGGGGGCCCAAGGCCACATATATAGTATTTGTATGGCGGGGGCCTAAGGCCACCTATAATATAGTATTGTAATAATAGAATAGTTTATGATGGGGGCTCAAGACCACATATATAGTATTGTATATGACGGTGGCCTAATGCCATCTATATAGTATTGTAGTAGGCTGGAGGCCCACCAAGGCCTCCTATATAGTAGTGTGTGGTAAGCCTTGGTTGTAAGCTATACCGCCTCCAGCAAAGAAAAGTAAGCTGCATCACTTGCACAGTGTATTATAGCGCCAGCGGGCCCTAGGCCCCCGGTGGCTTAACGCCACACTTGGATGTGGATATCTGTCGCCTGCATACGGCGGCGCTACCCTACATGCGAGGGCGTTCTCCTAATTATAAGCACAGGTCTACTGATAAAGGTTTATTACGGAAATCTATGCTGAGATACCCCCAACCATTTTAAATACATATTCATCACAAAATATAAATACTCTGGTGAGTGATTGCGCATGCGCTAACACACTAACGTAGCCAGATTGCGTACTGGCTGGTATACGCAGCGGGGACCTTACATGCAAGGTCTTCCTCCGATTTCTTAAATGTTGTCTATTAATGGAATATTATCATATAAATCTATGCTAGGATAATTCCTCTTCATTTTAAATGCATAATCTTTGCAAAATACAATTTCTCTCGAGAGATATTGCGTATGCGCCCGCACCGTGTAAGACGTGCAGTGCCGTCTGAGGCAAACTTCATAATATAGCTTGCTGCGGGGAGCGGGGAACGGAGACTGAAGAAAGGCGGCCGGGAAGATAGCTAGGGCGGTATAAGAAGAAGGAGGCTGAGCGAGGGACAAGGGAGGCAAGTGGAAGGACGCGAAGGCATAAAGTAGGTGTTTTATACCCTACAAAACGTATACTAAACGTATTACCTTGTAAGCTGTCGTCACACGATCACACAACTCACCGACGCAGTGCGAAATGGAGAGACGCAGCGACGGGCGGCTACCACGCGGCGGCCATATTGCGAAAAATCCTGGCCACCCTCGTCGCGAAATTCGTGTGCGTCTATGACGCGCCGTCGACTTACCGACGATATGGATCCGCCACCGATAGCAACTGTCGCGCGTTTATACGTGTGTGTGTGTGTGTGTACCAAACATGGTGACAATGTTATAAGACACGCGGCGACGGCTCCTGGTACCCATAACGACGCATTGATCGCCGCCGCCCCGGCAGACGCGCGGTAGGAAACCAGCGGCAGCGGCGGCGGCGGCGGCGGTGCGCTGTTAATATTGTAGATTGTAACAAGAGCGAATAATACCTATTATTTATATAGGTATTATTAGCTCTTGATTGTAATGGGAGAGGTTGGTAGGGTAACGCGATTCAGATTTGACCGAGGCAGCGATCGTCACGCCGAACCTACACTATAGATCGACGAACACGATGGAAAACATTACTGGGGTTTAGACTGTGGGGTAGAGAGAGGGGAGAAAGTGCAAGAGAAAGGGGAGAGTGAGGGAGGAAGAGATAGAGAAAACGAAAGAAAGAGAAAGCGAGAGAGAGAGAGAGAAAGAGAGAGAGAGAGAGAGAGAGAGAGAGAGAGAGAGAGAGAGAGAG